GCCCCCTTTTTACTAACCCTAGAATATAAGAGTACTTATTTGCAGAACCGACGCAATAAATTTATATATATATTATCAGTCGTCAAATTCTAGTTTTATATTTGTGTTAGGGTGCCATCGCTCATCATTGTTAATTATCTTATTATTATAGGAGTAATCCAGCCTCCTCATCCTTATTAGCCTATTTTTTATCTCTTTATACAGTCCACTCTCTACCAGGTTACAGGATCGACAAGACAATCGAACGCACGGCGGGTTGCGTGTTGTCACCCGTTCGCACACACACGCGTACGCGTATTCCGCCGTGTCGGGCTTTCCTTGTGCAGCCCCTAACGCACAGTAATTACATATATTAAATACTGGACATAAAGCTAATAATTTCGAAGTAATTAATGTTTTGATAAGTGTTGAGAAGTAAAGCTAGAACATTATTTTAGTCTGTGCTTAGTCTGTGCTTAGTATCTACTTATTTTATTAATGGTTGGTTATACTTATTTATAAACATCCAAGCTCTATAGTATAGGTACCTAGTTATTATGTATTGAGTTACTTTATAACCATTTTTCACATTACAATTTTAAAAGTCTAATATTATTAATAAATATTTGAATTTATAATATAAATAACTTTTTGGTTTCTAGTACACTAAACATAAATTACAGATGAGTGGTAAGGGCAAGTCAAGCTGTAGCTAAAAATATGATTGCTGCAAAAATCAAAGGATCAATAGTCAATATATCCTCAACCATATCTGAAGTTATTACTTATTGATAATAATTTGTACTATTTAAATTTTACATTACCTATAATAATTATACAGTTGCTACTTGTAAAAACCAAGTAGTCAGTTCAGAAAACATTTTGTTTTCTTGACATTTTTCATCAAATACATTATGGCTACAAATAAAAAAATATAATTTTTACTTTTTAGAGAGCCATACCAGAACATGTTTCATATTGTGCATCTAAAGGAGAAGTGAACCAAATTACAAAGACAATGGCTATAGAATTAGGACCGCTTGGCATAAGGACAAACTATGTTAATCCTACTGTTGTATCAACGAATATGGGATTAAAAGCATGGTCGGATCCGAATAAATCAGAACCGATTATGAAGAGAATACTATTAGGGAGATTTGCACGTTAGCGAAAATATTTACGTGCCTATTTGTTCACAAATGTGACATTTTGTGTCATTATTATTAAGGACTACCTATATTGTTATTGTTGTATGCAGGAGGTATATATTATAATATAAACTAATTGATAATTTATTTTCCAGAACCTAATGATATTGCAGATGCAGTGATATTTTTATTGAGCGACTATTCAACAATGATAAATGGTGTGAATCTATATATAGACGGCGGTTTTATGACTGGATAAGAATTTCGATACTTCCTTTGATGTCGAGAGTATTAAAATAATCATTATATAATATACAATTATACAGTAAAATTTAAATTAATTGTAATAATATTACCTTTGTGCGTTTTATTTTAATCATGCATTTAAATTTTCTCTGTAAGTCTTGAATCTTTTAAAATCATACAACTGTTGTTCTTATTATAGCATCCTGTTACACAAACTAGCCAATCTACACAATTTTTTTGAACATATTGCAAATCAACAACTATCAGTTTATTTAATTTTTTAAATTAAATTAATTATTATTTTTTTTGTTTCAAAATCTTATAAGGTACTAAAGTAGGTAATTTCATCGCAAAATAATGTGTCAAAATATGGTTACTGTTTTATTATGATATGAACAACTTATTACTAGAATTATACTTTAATAAATAGTTATAAATATTGTAATCAGGACTCAGAATAACMTGTTTATACAATCAATATTTTAGCGACCGGAACCACTATCTCTTACAAACTACAAAACAATATAGGTAATTAATAAATCTAGATAATTTAATATTGTAATGATGGTGTGTCTTTTTTATTTTAATAACATATAACAATTATTTACCTGTACTTTTTATTTTTGTCGTTCATTATACTTCTAATTATTATGTGACTGCATACGATCTGTATCCTAGCTGTTCTTCATTTGTTCTTAACCCAATAGTACCTAGATAACTTATCAACTATAAATATATTATATAATTAAATTCATTTTATAGTACCTCTTTCTTTATTTGAAAATCAAAAAATCAAAATCATAAATAGTTTGAATTAGCACTTTATCTTTTGCCAATGACCTTTTTTCTCATTTGTTTGAGACAAATATGCAAACTCTATCACTCTGTTTTGCATTTAAAACTTTCAGAATTGTGGTACCTTAATACAAAAAAGCGGTAAAGTAGGTATCGCTCTGCTGTACATTAGGTGG